TATTTTGGCGTAATGCTTTTCAATAATTTATTTAACTGACTTCCTGGTTGCATGTTAAGCTCAAATTTGGTGGACATAATCATTATTTCATGAACAATAAGCTCAAAAAATTCCATCAAAAAATTCCACCCAGAAACAGCTATAATGAAGATTACTCATACAATGTATAAGAAGTTTGGTTCCTGGCTAGAAACCGGAACCGAACTGGAACCGAACCGATGAAATAAGGAACCGAACCGAAAAAAGCTGAAGTCTAAAATTATAGGAACCAAACCGAAACGGAAATTTCGGTTCGGATCGATTTTCCCAATTTTACGGTTCCAAGCCCCAGCCCTAGGCCAATCCACGCAGTGATCGTCATCAATCTGACCAGTGACCAACCCGATCAATGACCGTGACCAATCCAACTGTGACCAATCAAACCCTGACCAATCCGACCCGTGACCAACCGGATCGCGACCAGTCCGATTGTAACCAACCTGACGAGTGACCAATCCGACTGTGACCAACAAGACTATTAACCAACTCGACCAGTGACCTCCACCGGACCGACCGCCACCGCCCTGACCAATCCGACCACCACCGCCCTGACCAATTCTTACAACCTCCCATACTAATGCCACCGCCCTGACCATGTCCACCTCAGCCCCAGCCCTTGCCCATCCCTAGTCCCCATCTCCAGATCCTTTTGCAGCCCCCTTTCAACGGGCTGACAAATCTTCAGCGGATCTACTCAGCCCTAGCCAGATCTCCCCAACCACCAGACCACCACCCTGCAACACTAACCGTCCAGATTTAGCCCATCGTTGCTCCACGACGATGTGAAACCAGGCGTTCACCATCGCCCTCTTGCCGATCTGGGTGGCGCTCGAACATAAATAGAAGGAGAAGAGTGGCATTTTGATGATAAAACTAATTAAAGGTTTTTTGGGTGTAACACTTTGAACGTTGATAGACAACTATTTATTTTATTACCAAATAATATGTAACACTTGAATGTTAATATGCAATACAAATAAGGTGCATTGTACAAATATTTACACAATAAACACTCATGGTACACTTTTGTACCTAATTTGCCCCCATTTCACAAATGAATTTTCATAGTCACTACCATTTATTTGTAATATAAATGATTGATAGTGAAAGTATGGGAGTTGTTTATCTCTATTAGTGGCGAAGAAATTATTTCTACTAATGATCTTGAAAATCTGATCACAGTTTTTTAGGGGTGGGCAAAAATACCGAACCGACATGGTACCGAACCGGATCGCTATGATATTGGACCGAAAAACGGGGTTTGAAACGATTTTCATTTTTTTTGTCCCGAACAGGACCGTACCAGTTCCAAACCATGCCATGACCGGTTGAAATGAGAACCGATAACGGACCGACCATATCCAAGTGTGATTTATATAATTAATAATCATATGTATACGTATTCCATTACTTTGATTACTCCTTTTGCACTTTCACACCCATTGCTAGTTCGATGGAAGCCTATCGCTGCTCGCTCCTAGCTGCTAGCTGCTAGGGACAAATCTTTATGGGGTGAATATATGGGAGCCCAACCCAATTTTATTTTTACTTTTTTTATTATAGGTACAGATTTAACAAAAGTTGATGTTGAGCCCATAGAGTTTGATTTGGCAGTCTACTAGAGTTTATCTTAAATTAATGTTTTGTGATTTACATTTTATACTACTATAATTTATCTAAAATTTATTAATTATGTAATATGAAAATTGATAATTTTGGAGGACGACTAAACTTTAATTTTTCGGAAAAAAAGTAACATTGTTTGATATTGGTATGACATGATACTATATCGTTTGAAAATGGAACCGTACTGAACAAAATTAGGTCTAAGACCGAACCGAACAAAACCATTTCAATGATCACGATACAGGTACGGCTCGTCAAAATATTGGACCTGACCGGACCGTGCCCACCCGTACAATTACAATTTTTTAATCGTGTGTTAATTTTAACATTTTGTTTTTGATACTCTATAAAATGGACTTAATTTGATGATAGGAGTAACGTTTCTAGAATGTTACGTGAGAAGGTCTATGAATTAGTAATAAATGGTGCATGTTCTAAATAGAGAGCAGAAACTCTCTGAACTTGCTAAAGCACCGGGATTCCAATTTGATTTATCTGCACACCTCATACCTGAGGCCCCCAACCCCGACCGGACAATATGTTGGGAGAATGTAAATTGGACTATAATCCCAATCTGACAGATCGAGTGTGAGGCTCTGTTCCTGGTACTTGCTGAAGTTCTATGCATTTTTAGCATAGTAACCCCTCATCGCAGTTGTCGGGATTCGAACCCGGAACCTAACCTTTGTGGCACTCCCTTGCTACCAGTTGAGCTACGCCCACCGGTACCGGGATTCCAATTTGATGAATCAAGTTGAGCTAGCTGCCCTTTATTAATGGAACTAAACCTAGACATTAGCTCCGTAATTTTTAGAGGCCGTTTGGCAACACTGTTTTTCGGCTTATCAGACTTATCAACCAATTTTTTCACCAAACACGTAATTTTTGATTTCACGCGCTAAATTGTGTAATAAGCAGAAAAAGTAAGGTTGAAGTTACTTTTCTGGCTGTATTGACTGAAGTTACTATAGATGACCATTTTAGCTATTTTTACATATAATTCTTTCTTTATTTTATTGATAAAATATATTTTAAAATTATTTTTCCCTAAATCAACAAAATCAGCCAATGCAGCCACTTCAGCCTGAAATTCATAAATTTCAGCAGAATCAACCAAATCAGCCGATTTTCGTGCTACCAAACGGGCTCTCAGTTACCGGGAATTTTTCAAAATGTTCTTCAAATAAATTGGTAAGCGTCTTTCAACTTCTAATCTATTTGTCATTAGACAAAAAGTAAGGGCTAGGCACGTGAAAGTCTTCATAGTGTTTTGGTACTAAATAGTTTCCAAGTAAATTCTTTGCTAAATAAACAATAAGTCTATCTCAAATCACGAACTTATAGCCCATTTGGTAAAACCAAAATCGGTTGAGTCAGCTGATTCTGTTGAAATTTATGAAATTCTTGCTGAAGTGACTGAATTGGCTGATTCTGCTGATTTATGTAAAATATATATATATATATATATATATAATATTTTATAAATAAAATAAAGAAGAAATTATATGTAAAAATAGCTAAAATGATCTTCTCTATCAACTTTAGTCGATGCAACCAGAAAAGTTACTCTAACGTTACTTTTTCTTATTATTACATAATTTAGCATGTGAAATTAAAAATTACGTGTTTAGTAAAAAAATTGGCTGATAAGCCCGATAAACCGAAAAAAAGTGTTACCAAACAAGCTCTTAGTTATTCACCTCAAATAAAGCAGCCACTTTTGTACAGAATAATTAGAATGATCCCAGTTCTCAAAATCGTGTCTTTAATTTGGTAATACTAATATTGGTGACATATTTTTGTCCGTAAAGTACATACTACATAGCAATAAAATTGTTTGTTGAGGACAGTCTTTTCCATGTGCTGCTATATGCTTATGTGTACAAGTGTACAATAAAATTGATTCTGCTGAAATTTATGAAATTCTGATTGAATTAATTGATTCCACTCAAATATGTACATACAATGAACTGTACACCAAGCATTTTTCTTCTTACAATGAAGTTGGAACTCGAGTAAAGGGATTGGGACTTGGGAGGGGTCTATGTTTCTGGCGGGAAATCATTTTTGTGTATTAAATTAATTAATTTATTGATTTCTAGATTTTAAAGTTTTCCTTTTCAACTTTTGCAATTACTTGAAACTTGTCCGTTCTAATCAATCTAAAGCCAATAAACTTTTTCTTAAAATAACCCATAATGAATTCTTTTTAGTTCAATCACATCAAGTTCATCAAAATGAATCACATCTAGCTACATTGTACCCTTCAAAACGTAAATGACCAATTTGCATTAAACGTATATTACATGTTTTAATTAATCAAACTAATGAAAATTAGTAAGTCAAAACTAAAATGAATTTCATTAATTAATATCAAGGAGAAAGTAATAACAATACCAATAATAATAATAATTTCATGAGAAATAATTTTAATACAACTTATCAAAATCTACTAAATAACTAGTGGAACTAATTAATTTCAAATAAAACTAAAAAATGAAAGATGGTCTAAGGGAATGAAGTGATTCAAACACATGACTTAGTTGCAAGCGACCTCTCTTTCTCTTGCATATCGTTGTCGGCAAACATTTATATTAACTAAAGTTAAACCGATTCTAAATGACATGTATGCGTCTATGGCTGCATATTTAATTTGTTCAAAGCTTAGATCATCAGATTCCCAATTGCTCAGAAGTATGTCGTACGGCTTATCCATCTTTAATCCAAGAACTTTTACCGCCAATGTTTCCAATCCAATCCACAAGAGCTCTTTTGACCTGTAAATACATGACGCCAGAAATTGTAAATCAAGAACATTTCCCACAACCAACCCGTGATCGTGGAGGAGTTGTTTTGCGTGGTCTTGGACCCCTATCGCGACAAATGTGACAAGTGGATTGGTGAGGAAGGTGGCCAAGGAATGTGGAAAACGATCCTTGTGGAGAAGCTGAAAAATAAGGCATTTCTTCCCAACACAAATTTGGAGTGTGGCGGTGAGATTGTTGTTCCATGGTCGGTAAGGATGCCACTTGATGTCTAGACCGGCAATGATAAAACGGTGTCCACGACGACGATGGAGATCGATAATTTCAGATATCCATGCGTCGACTTGAGACGCGACTTTGGTAACAATGACTTGGAGATTGATATCGTGAAAATCAACTGAATGTAATGTTGCCATTATTTTAAGTTTATATGGAAATTGAGAGGACGACATATGAATGAAAAAGGTATAAAATCGGAATAAATGAGTAATGAAGGGTGTAGGATGGAGTGAATTGTGAATGAGAGATAGTACTTATAGAATTAGAATGGAAATCCTAATTCTAGTGATATTTGTACTTACGGTTTCCTAAAAAATCCTAATTTTAGTGAATTGGGATTAGGATTGATGACCGATCCAAAGGGATTTCTATTGGGATTGGGGTCAAACTCTTGGTCACCTGTTTCTTATGGTAGTTTGGATGTCCTTATTCTCTTAAAGCAAAACTCACCGGAAAACACTCCTTCCGGCACTTCCGGATAAGATGATCGGAGGCCCTCCAAGGCGGTCTAGGTGGGCTATCTTTTGGATTGGGAATTGTTCGGTACATCGGGGTCTTTGTCGGTTTGCTTCTAATTGAATCCCCATTCTGCCGGATAGTGGAAGCCTGGTGAGGGTGGGGGTTTTCTCTGCCGAGAATCGCCGGTTTGGCCACCACCAGAAGCAGTCGTCCGTCGGAATGAAGAGTGGACAGATTTGGCCACCACCTTAGATGCCATGTTATTGCCCTCCGATTGTTTACGTTACCCTATTTCCTCTCTTGCCTGATCGCCTGGGAGACGCCGGGACAAGATAGTTTTGCTGCTAATAGAATATCAAAGAGAAACTAAGAAGAGATCAAGAAGAACCAGTGGTTGCAGGTAAAGGCAAAGTCACTGCTCCAGAGCTTATCTATGGAGAAGAGTGGAGTAGATGGACCAAAAATTTTCTTGTAAAGATAATTGTTTTCAACAGTGCTTTGTTTTTCGGTTACATTCATCTTTACTTCTGAAATCTATGATGATATAAAATAAAAGTTATGGTTTATGAGAATGGTATCTTTTTTAGCATACAGTTTTATTTTCTTTGTTTTGGTCTTGCTTATTGATCTAAATTGATCTTTCAGATATGGTGAAGGGTGGAATTTTGGTGGTGATGAATAATGGGCGCAGGATGAATGCTATCACAGACAAGTGTACGAAAGGTGTACACCAAAATGTGTACACCAATTTTTTTCATATTATACTACTACAGTGTACACCAATATTAAAGGAGTAGTAATATAGTAGCTGATGATAGAAGGTTTTTTAAATATAAAGGGTTCAACGCAGCCTTTAAGAAAAACAGTGTCAAACTTGACACGGACATTGATGGTGGTAATACTGCTGCTGAGCATACCCTTGCCGTACTCAAGGATCACATTCAGGTGTCTAACCTTAATATCATTCCAAATACTACCAATATGTTTATCTGATATTGATCCTTTATACAATCTTGATGTATTTTATTCATGTATGGAAAAGTTCAAATCTCTGAATTGGCGAGTTCTAATTAATGATCTGTTCTTTCATACTTCTCATCTGTAATAACTAGTTTTCCAGGTTGGAATGGCTGGGAACTTGAAGGATTTTGTGCTAATTAACCATGATGGAGATGAGGTATTTATTCATGGAGTGTTCAAAATTTGTCAATGCTTTTTATCTCGGTTTTATAGAATCCTTGATGTGTGGTACACAAGTATTTCTCTTTGAAGTTTGAAGCCCTCTACAAAAAGAGAATCTTTCTTGAGATTGTTAGGTAATAAATCATTTCAAGCCTTCAATTGGTTTTCATGAAAAAGTTTATTTCGATGGGGATCAGCTATCCAAAAGTTTTTTTAGTTCAAACATCAATGCGTCGTTACTTCACCCATTCCTTATTCTCTTCAACCTAAATGCTTGCTGGTTATGTCTTCTCCATTTTGTGCAGGCTAAAGGATCTGAAATTTTAACCCATGATGGAACGTCTGTCGGTTTTACTTCTTCCCCAATTGAAACCGTAAGGAATTTTGATACTCGTAACTCTAAAGAAAGAATGAGTACATCAAAGATTTGACCATCTTGCAAGACATTTAAAGTCAGTCCACATAAAGCAAATATCATCTTGGACTCGGATGATATTGGAATTGTGAGATATAATGTTTTATGTTTTATTACTAGTGCAGTACCCTTGCATACGCACGGGAAATAATCGATGGATACACTTGCAATCATGATCTATTTAATTAGAATAACAGATTAATTTTAAAAAATTGGGATAGTTCTTAAAAGCGAGTACAATAAGTCAATATCATAAAGTTAAATTAAGTTAATAAAATAAATATTAAAAGTAAAATATTAAACTTACATGTTAGAGATTTTGGAAAACCTCTTTGAATACAACATTCGTAGTAGTGTCAAACAAAGCATACTGCCTATATTAAACAAAAACTTATAAATGGGAACCATTATAAAATTAAATAAGTGAGAATTAAATAAGTCAGAATTGTCATAAGAATACACATAGAGCAGAAGATATGACATAGCAATTGTTTTTTCATGAAAGCAAGACCAACAAATTAGTACTTCATAATACTGATACTCCCTCCGGTCCCTATTAAAGTTCCCAGTTTGACTTCACACAGATTAAGAAAATAAATTTGACTTTACTGTGGAGTGCACTGTTTGGCACTGTTTGGACACTGTTTGATACTGTTTTGCACTGTTTTGTTTCCTACAATGGAAGTGTGAACTTAAATAAGGGACATCCCAAAAAGAAAAGTAAGAACTTTAATACAGATCGGAGGAAGTATAAAGGAGTAATATCTTTTTCTGTTTTAAGCATTTCATCGAACACCTTATATGTTTTGGTGAAAGCAAAAGCCAGACAAATATTGAAAAATAAATTCATCAGGCATATAAAGAACATGGATTGCGCAACACCAAAAAGTTCTACTTTGGGTTCAATGATTAGATATATGTAGTATAGTGAAAAAATGCATGTGCGGGACTCCTATGGCAGATTTATAGAGATCACCCCACTTTGTATTATATCATCCCATTTCAACTGTCATTAATCAAACCTATCGGAAATTAAAAGAAATAGTTTACTTGAGCTTTATTTATTAGTAATAGATATTGTTTGTTTTTATGCATCTGGAACAGAACCCCAAAACAACTGCACATGCGATTAGCTTGTGAGTTTTTTATTTTTATTTTGTAAACTACTCTTAATTTATATGCATCTATATATGAATAGAGGTAGACCATAGTGGGAACACAGTAAAATCCAATAAAAAATGAAATATACACCGTGAAAATTGAGAGCACTTGATTTATGCTATAAAAGGTAAAGATAAGATGGCATTTTTCAATAACATTAGTTCTCAAATCTAAAATGGTTCTGCTTGCTTATTAACCAAAGCCAAAAGAAAGGTCATTTTATCAAACATTTCCAACATTAAAAAGGCATAAGTAAAAAATAATTTATGTATTTTAGTCATAGCTTAGCAATTGGACAGTCATTTGAGATTTGCATTTAGATGAAAAGTCAAGGCTAAGAACCGAAAATGGATAAAACACCTTATATGTAGAAAAGTAAAAAGAAACATATGTGAGTATTAGGGAAGTCTATAGACATATTTCCCAAATAGGAAGAAAGCAAACAAAGTACTTATTAAAAGTCCATCTCTTTTACTTTAAGGATGAATAAAAAAGAAAACGACATCACAAAAAGAACAGACTCCCTAGCCGAAAAAAGTATTGGTATTAGAAACCCAAAAACAATGATAAAAGAGCATAGTGACAGCCATATTAAGATTGAATAGATTATATCTTATTAAAGGTTTGGTTTTCTTTTTCTCAAACTTAATAGAATTTGATATTAAAGGAGCATAGTGGCAGCCATATTTAATAGAGTTTAGAGGAAGAGAGAATTGCAGACTCAACCAGTGGCGGAATCAGAACAAAAATTGAGGGGGGGCGAAAAAAATCAAATCATCGAGTTGGAAAGATATATAATCTCTACTATATTCTTTTTTATGTATTTATATAGATTAATTTGATCTCAAATTGAATGCAGAAGAAATATTTTCATTTTCATGAAGTGACTCTTTATTTAGACCTATATACACAAGCGCACACATACACATACATATATATACAATCACATATATTTCCATCTATATTTGTTTTCTAGTGCCCAAACAAAACAATAGACTTTCTCTTAACACGCGAGTTTATTTCGATTTAAAATGCTTATCATTTTATTTTAAAGTTTTGTTTAAATTTCGATTTAATACGCTCGTTTTAAATATCAAGGTTTAAATAGAAATATAGCTAAACAAATAGAGGAAGATAAATTAAAACTCCCATACGGAGTATATGTAAGTTACTAACTTATCAAGAAAATAATAATTTTGTTTTACTCTTTTCAATTTAACGTTGTTTCTAGGTTATTTGTTTTTTAAAAGGATATTAATTGTTTTATTTATGCAAATTTATTAAATAAATTTAATTATACACATATAAATAAAGTCGCATATTTCAAATATTAACAAGAAGTTTTGACATATTTGTATTAAAGCAAAGAATAAATAGTTATGTTAAGTTAAAACTTTATAGTCATTGCACTAAACAGAAAATGTAAATAACATGTCAATATTCGAAAAAGTAAAAAAAGTTAAATATTATAAATTGGAAAAATAAAAATGTATAATAAAAGTAAAAGAAATGTAGTGCGATAGGAAAAAATTAAAGGGGAAAATAATTAAAATACCCCAAACTTTGAAGGGTGTGAGATAAACACCCCAAACTTGCATATGTAATTTAAATACCCCAAACTTTATATAAAAGTTATTTTAGCACCATCTTCATGTATTATTTCTTTCAAAAATTTTAATTTTTGGTGTTTATTTCATAATTTGATAATTTTTAGTATTCATAAAGATACAATTAACATTCTAAACTTCCATAGTAAAATAAATAGTATTACCCACCACTATATATAATTCTAATGTTTTCAATTTTCTATTTTAAATTATGCATTTAACACCATATATTTACATTTTTGAAAGAAATCATACATAACCATGGTGTTAAAATAACTTTTTATATAAAGTTTGGGGTATTTAAATTACATATGAAAGTTCGGGGTGTTTATCTCACATCCCATCAAACTTTGGGGTATTTTAATTATTTTTTCCAAAATTAAAACTAAAACAGTCACAAAAGAAGAGAAAGTAGAGAAGGTTTAAACAATTAAAAGACTCCAAGCGCCAGAGGGACTCGAACACAGGTTTGTAAGAAAGCTAAAGCGAAGTTCTACCATCTCTGCTACCTAAACTATTGTTTACAAAACAGGTTGGTGTATATTTATTACTTTGAGACGGGACTGTACATACATATATACATATATATACACCACCATCTCCGGCGAACGGGGGGCGGCAGCACCGGCTCACCCCCTAGTTCCGCCACTGGACTCAACTGCTTACTTTATTCTCAAACATATGATGGTATTTATACAATCATTGGGAGCCTAAATAATTATTATGATACTAATTACAAAGATATGTAACGGTTAAAACTGAAATTGTAATCATTGAAAATATTATAAATTAATATTTTCTGGATTCTTCCACACGCCCCCGCAAGCCAGGTATTCTGTCACTCCCAAGAATCCTGAGCTTGTCTCTTAGTAGAGTAAAACGCTGCCTGGAGAGTGATTTGGTAAGAGCATCAGCTAACTGATCATGAGAGGAGATGTGAAGAACTCGAAGAAGTCCACGTTGCACGCGTTGTCGGACAAAATGAAAATCAATGGCAACATGTTTCATCCTGGAATGGAAAACCGGATTTGCTGAAGAAGTTGTAGCACCTTTGTTATCACAAAGTAGTAGCGGTGAAGAGGGAGGCGGATGTCGGAGTTAATGAAGAAGAGACTCAATCCAAAGAATTTATGATGCAACAGTAGAGAGAGCCCGATACTCCGCTTCTGTAGATGATTTAGCAATGGTGCGTTGTTTAATGGACTTCCAGGAAATAAGTGATTCACCAAGAAAAATGGCATATGCGCTAGTTGAGGAGCGATCGTCGGGATTCCCTGCCCAGTCTGCATCGGCATAAGCACGTAGAGAAAGAGATGAACTGCGACGGAGATAGAGACCATAAGAACTAGTGCCTTGAAGGTACCGTAATAGGCGTTTGATATGCTGCCAATGAGTAACCGTCGGTTTGTGCATAAATTGAGCAAGTTTATTGACAGCGAAGGCAACATCTGGTCTTGTGAGACTCAAATATTGAAGTGATCCAATGACCTGACGATAGAGAGTCACATCACAAGACCCCGAACTATCAAACAAGGTTAAGGATGCCGAGGGAGCCAGGGGTGTGGATACTGGTTTTGCCTCATCCATTTTCAACATACATAATAAATCGATAATGTACTTGTGTTGGTCAAGAAAGAGCCCATCCTGCGTTGGAGTGACCTGCATGCCTAGAAAATAATGCAAGGATCCCAAATCCTTAATAGAGAATTTTTGCGCTAAGGAATCAATAGTCTGACGAACCAAAGCAGGAGTGGAACCAGTAACAATAATATCATCCACATACACCAACACATAGATATAAGATTGATGTGAAGAGAGTATGAAGAGACTCGCATCCGACACAGATTGATGAAATCCAAGGGAAAGAAGAAACCCACTTAAAGATTGATACCACACCCGGGGTGCTTGCTTGAGACCATAAATAGATTTACGAAGTCGGCAATCAGACCCAGAACCATCATTGAAACCAGGAGGCTGTTTCATGTATACTTCCTCGTGAAGAGTCCCATGCAAAAATGCATTATTAACATCAAACTGATTGATCTGCCAACCGTGAGAAAGAGCAATAGTCAGGACAACTTGAATGGTGACAAGTTTGATTACTGGGCTGAAAGTTTCAGAATAATCAACTCCTGGGCGCTGATGAAAGCCCTTAGCAACCAACCGAGCTTTGAAACGATCCAAGGAACCATCCGGCTTGTACTTCACAGTATAAACCCATTTGCAACCAACAACATTTTGACCAGGACAAGCTGGAACAAGATCCCAAGTTCCCTGTTTCACCAAGGCTTCAAATTCTACTGACATAGCATCCTTCCATTCTGGTACCTGTAAAGCCTGAGAAACACAAGTAGGAATAACATGATGAGATAAGGAGGAATGAGTGACAAGATTAG